CCCCCCCCCCCCCCGCAGCCTCGCCCACTCCCCGCCTTGCCAGTAATTAGCTAATGAGCTCCCAGGAAGATGACAGGGTGCCAGGGACCCAGATGATGCGGAGGAGGGAGGATGGCACCGGCAGCCTCAAGCAGAGGGGGAGGGGCAGAGGGAGGGCCAGGAGGCGCTAGCTCTCAGGACACCCTCACTTCTGGGTGTTGGGCCTCCGAGACTCCAGGCAGGGCAGGCAGCCCCACCGGGCCAGCCCCAGGCGGTGGGAGCTGTTCCTGGTTCTCCTGATGCCTGTCTTCCCCCTTCCCTGCTCCTGTTCTACGCAGCAAATCATGAAAGACAAGTGGATCAACATCGGCTATGAGGGTGAGGAGTTGAAGCCATACACAGAGCCGGAGGAGGACTTTGGGGACACCAAGCGAATCGGTGAGGGTCAAGAGATCCGGCGCCGGGAGGCTCAGAGCCAAGGGCCACAGAGCAGGGTGGGAGCCTGCAGGCACCAGTCCCCTGGCCAGTGCCAGAAAAACTTGCAGGGAGGGCTTTTAGGGGGGAGCAGTGAGGAGTATGAGTGCTAGTCCCTGCACAGCCACTTTCTAACTGTGTGACCCCGGGCACATGGCTCCCCCTCTGTGCCTCTGTTTCCTCATCTGTAAAATGGGAGTAATCACAACCTACCTACCTCATAGAGTTATTATGAATATTACATGCTTCAATCTACATAAAGCACTTATATCAGCGGCTGACATGTCATAATTACTGATATATGGTAGCTTTGACTATTAAAACGTAAAAAGGGGCCGGGCACAGTGACTCACACCTGTAATCCCAACACTTTGGGAGGCTGAGGCAGGGGGCTCTCTTGAGGCCAGGATTTCGAGACCAGCCTGCACAACATAGCAAGAGCTCTATCTCTTACCAAAAAAAAGCTGGGCATGGTGGCACACCTGTAGTCCAGCTACTTGGGAGGCTGAGTCAAGAGGCTTGAGCTCAGGAGTTTGAGGCTGCAGTGAGCTATGATCGCACCACTGCATTCCAGCCTGGGTGGTGGAGCAAGGTCTTGTCTCTTAATTTAAAAAAAAAAAAAAGTAAGTGCAAAAAGAAATCACAGATTGCTTCTAGAAGGGTTTGAGCATAATTCGTTGATGAATGACTTGAGGACATTGACATGTGCCTCAAGACCACCCCTGTTGCCCTGATCCCTCCAGCCTGGAATCTTAGCTTGAACCCCAAGTCATTAGCAATGTAAGAGCACCCCAGACAACCAGTAACCCTGCATTCTACGGCTGAGGAAACAGCCCACCATCAGAGCCTAGTTGCATTGATCAAGACTTTCATGGTTGTTAAGTAGCAGAAAACCCAAGTCAATCTGGCTTAAACCAGACAATAATAGGTTGAACAATAACAATAAAAAGTTGAACCATGTGAAATTGCCATTTTATTGGTTAAGAATTGTCCATACCAGCCATGTTTTATGGTTTAACCTCATAGTAGTATTTTATTCATTCATATAACTAAAAAGTCGAGGATATTCAGCCTTCAGGCACAGTTGGATCCAGGTACTCAGAGACAGTTGTTGGGAATCTTCTCAGTGGTAGCTTCATTCCCAGGCCACTCTCACCACAGGAAGCAAGCTGACAGCACCATGCCCTAGTGGCCTGGACATCTTATCACGAAGAGGAGCTTTGTTAATGTCCCGGTAAAAGCGTATAGGCTACCTGTGAGCCAATCAGTGTGGCCTTAGGGGTGGGATGCTCTGATTGGCCCCAGACTTGGGTCACATGCCTGCCGTGAGCCAATCGGTGTGGCTTTGGGGATAGGCTGTGACGGGCCGGCCTGCGTTGTGTGGCCTCGGTGGGGCTTAGCGCCGGCAGGAGTCACCGGATGACCTGAGGGGGGAAGGAACGTTCTGTCGAGGAAGGCGGGGTGCAGCTGTGGGAGGGGGCGTGGGTCCTGGACGGTCAGAGGGCAGATGTCGCCCAGTGGCACGGCGCGGGTGGGAGGGAGGTCTGGGCAGGCTGACCTTTCTCCGTCCCCCCGCCAGAGGTGATGGTGGGCATGGGCTACACGCGGGAAGAAATCAAAGAGGCCTTGACCAGCCAGAAGTACAACGAAGTGACCGCCACCTACCTCCTGCTGGGCAGGAAGACTGAGGTCAGGGGCGCGGGGCTGGGGGTGCGCGTTGCCTGGGGCGCAGGGACG